GCAGCACAGGTTGAGGTAAGGTGCTGCCTGTGGCACCTTAGGGGCACTCAAAACCTCCACCAGCCCTTCCTCACCTGGGATTAACGTCCCCACACCATGGGCAGGGACACAGGCTTGTAACGAGCACAAGGCACGTGGCCCTGGGCAGCGGTGGGTCCCTGGAGCAGCCAACAATGCAGCCACAGCTCTGGAGACCCCAGCCAACATGGACCATGCAAGATGGTGGGGACAAGGCTGCCCAATTCTCCTGTGGCCCCTTCTGCAAGGATACGCAGTCATCCCCATATGGCTGTCCTGATGCTCCTGCCCTGCCAAATCCACCAGGGGACGGCCCGCACTGTGCATCCATCCTGCTGCGTCCATCGGGACACCTCCATCCTGCTGTGTCCATTGGACACCTCCATTCCTTCACCTTCATGCCGCTGCATTCATCAGGACATCTCCATCCCATCACCTCCATCCTGCCACATCCATGGGGCTCAGGATTGCTCCTGCCATGGGGCAGGAGGTTTTTGCATGGCGCTGTATCACTGTGTGCTGTATTCGGGCCTGGGACCCTGTTGACCGTCCTAGGTGAGTCGCCGACTTCTTCTCGGTCTTTCCTTCCCCACCGCGAAATTATGACATTTTTGTCGATTTTTTGGTGATTTTGGGGGTTTTTCTCGGACTTGGCGCTGGGCTGGGGTCTGCCGCCAGTTCGGGGATGGGCACTAAGCACGGCGTTGTGGGCTATGTCTTGTCCCTGCGGACTTGGAGGGCTCTGGCGCGCGCCGCGGCAAATTGAAGGGTATTTTCTCAATTGAAAGATCTTAAAATTTGGCCAGAAAATGTGTCTGAGGTCTCAGGGAGCCTATTTCAGAAACTCAGGTTTAGGTCTCTAAGAAAGTAAATTTTTGTCTTTGTTAAAAAAATTAGTCATTAGTCTAAGTTCTAAGGTCTAAGTCCTCAACTCTTAGTCCTGAGGACTAAGTTGGTTGCTCTCAGTGAGGAGCTGGGGCTTCTCTGCGGGGTCCCGCGGCCAAGGGTGTGGGCGCTGCGAAATGGCAGCCTGTCCTCGGCCGTGAGTGAGCTGAAGTCACATCCGACTTTGTGTTAAAATGGCACGTCCGTGGGATCTTAACCGAAATTTTTCAGGGCTATCTTAAAGAGCCTGTTCTCCAGGTAAGCCGTGTCAAAAATGGAGATTATTATGTTGAAAATGATGCCAGGAAGATCTTTGTTAGTCTTTGTCTGTAATTTTTAAAAGAATTTGGCAAAAAATCCCAGTCTGAACCAAATTACTAGGGATGTAAGATCAAGAAAAATTTAGTTTGCCAATTTCTTCAGCAGAAAGTTTTTAATGGTGGAGTTGTCCTGGTTTTTGAATAAAGATAGATAGACATAGATAGAGACATTTCACATTTGAGGAGGGAGCAGAACCTCCTCGGAAGGACCAAACTTCTTTTCTTCATCTTCCTTTGGGTGATTCTTAGTTGTACTTCTTCTGAGACAAGTCTGAAAGTGTCTGAAAGCAGAACTGGGCAGAACACAGGATGATTTGTCTTTGAAATTTTTATTTTTAAAAAAACTGCCTTGCAAAAGGAAAGAAAATGGTTTATGGCAACTAACCAGAGATTTGGGGGTTTAAAATATATAATATATAT